TAGATAGATAGATAGATAGATAGATAGATAGATAGATAGATAGATAGATAGATAGATAGGTAAACATAAGAAATAAACAATTAACCTATAGAGCAGTACAAATAGCTCAGTGCAACTCATTCCCATGAGACAGTTGAGACACTGGCAGTCTTTCGAGTCTCGAGGGCCATGGGGTTGTCCTCTGTAGAACAATTCAGGCTATCTGGCTCAAGCAGCAAACAGCAAGGCAGGTCACCAACAGTCCGCTAGATGACAGGGTCCGACAGTCCCCAGCTCAAGCGATGTATACTCCAGTAGTGTGGTGAAGCAGGTCTTGACAAGGAACCTCAAACTACAGCAACACAGTCCATGGGTTAGGTGTCCCACGGGTATTGTAGCTTGCAAATTGAAGCAGAGAACAAGCTAAGGCAGCCAGCCGCACATTGGTCCGATCATCAAAGAGCAAGAGACAAGAAAGGCGAGGCTCTCCGCCCTTCAATTAATCCCACATGTGTTCATTGGCCAGGTTTGCACAATAAGCCTACCTATCACACCATATATGATCTTTTGTGACTGACTTCTTTCTCTTAGCTTAGTGTTTTCAAAGATAATCTGCATTTGTGCAGTAAGGGAGCTGCATTCATTTTTATGATCAAATATGATTCCACTGTATAGATAGAGCACGTTTTTCTTATCCATTACTTTATGATCTTTGGATTGTTTCCATTTTTTAGCTATTATGACTGTTAGGAAGATAGGTGTACACATTTTGGGGGTGGACATAGATTGTCACTTCTAAGAGTTAAATAATTAATTGTGGAATTATTGGGTCATTACATGTTTTTTAAATGTGTAGACTTCCTTTTTTTGACCTAATATTGTATTGAGTTTTTTGTGAAAGTTTACACAACTTAGGTTCCCAGTTGACAATTTCACAGTGTCTCGATGTTCTCTTTAACTGGTTCTGCTTGTCCTATTTGTGGTACTTTTAGTTTCCTTGCCCCTTATCTTTTCATCTTTATTTTTTTAATAGTTGTTGACCTTTGGTCATACATTGCTGGTTTTTAAGTAGTGTACTGATCTGATGGGTCATATCCATTGTTTTGTGTGCCGATCTGTCATTTCTCTGAAAGGTGATCTCAGGGCATAGGCTCGGTTCTAGGTTTGAAGAGTCTCTTGTGGCACTAGTCTCGGGAGCCTTCTGTTCTTTATTGTTCCCATTAGTCTACCTCTTAAAAAAATTTTTTTTTAACAAGAATACAAGTTCAACATAGTTTTCCTCACATAGTATCTAGGACCAACTATTGGGTGCCCAGTTATAGCCGTCTGTGAAGGTAGCTAGGCACCATATAGCTCTACTAGTCTCAAGAGTTGTGACTCGTGTAGATGTCTCTCTTCTCTGTGCCTTTGGTTGCCGCCTTTCTGTTTTGCTCCCAGCAAATAGAGATCTGTAGCTAAGTCTTAGATGACCACTCGCAAGCTTTTAGGACCCTTGATCCAACTCATTTTCACTAGGATGCAGGTCAGAATTTTTATGAGCTTTGTTATGCCACCATCACTCTTCTGACAGTTTGTTGTACTGTGGTGGCTTGCATGTTACTATGATCTGGATGCTAAGCCACCAGTATTTCAGATACCAGCAGGGTTATCTACGAATTTTTTTCCAGCAAGACAAGGTACCTGCTTATTTGTTGAGGGTGGCAAGGCTGATCCTATGAGAATTCCATTGGAAAATCTCACCTTATCCAGCATATAGCCCTGATCTTCCTCCTTTCAGACTTGTAAATGTTGAAAAGGAACACTAGTTGAGTCCCCCTTAGATGACACAACTCTCATTTTGACATGGAATAAATTGAAACATGAGAATTCTTTGCAGGAGAGAGCTAAAGAGAGAGAAAACTACCTTCAACAATGTATGGACCTAGATGGAGGATATGCTGAGAAACAATAGTGTTACTTTTTGATTATTTAATAGAGTGTCATATCTTTTATAGCAATATTTTTACTATATTTATAATTGTTAAGCTTTCTTGCTGGATTGAATCTTTTTCTTTAAAATCATTTTATTGGAGGTAGATTGAATCTTATGATTATGTAATAACCGTCTGTCATGCAATAGATTTTTATTTAAAGTATTTTATCTGTTACTTGTATAGTCACTCCTAACTCTTCTTTGATTAGTAGTTACATGGAATGTTTTTTTTAATTCCTTTACTTTCAATATGTTTGTGTCCTTATGTCGAAGTTCTAGTTCTCATAGAATGCAAAAGAATGGGCCAGGCCTTTCCATCCAGTCTGCAACCTCTGCCGTTTGCCTGCGTGTTTCATCGTTTACACTTAAACGATGAACGGTCTGTCTTAGTCATATGATTGGGTTTTTTTAATGTTTTGAGTCTTATTTTTTTCTCGGTGTTTTTGTTGTTGTTGTATTTGGTTGCTTTCTTGTGCTAAAACTTCGTCCCCTACCCCTGCCCCCGCAAAAGTCCTTCTTCTCCTCCGGTGATTTTTCTTGATGATTTCTCAGTGATTACCACATATGAGGGGGCTTCAAAAGGCTCATAAAAAGATGAAATTAAAAGATTCTGAAAATTTTCCTTCAACTTTTTGAAGCCCTCTTGTATGTTACACTGCACAACTTCCAGGTGCAACAGTGTTTAACATATGAGCCACAGTTACTGCACAGTCTGAACCTATAAATTTTCCTGATAGGCTCTTCCCTATCCATCCTTTCTGTTGCTTTGTCTTTCAAACATGAATATGCAACCTGCATTTCAAAAGTGTATATGTACTTAGTTCTTGCACATTTCAAGTTGTATTGTCATGGGATGTAATTATGATTTTATTCCTTGGCATACACTTGGTTCTTATAATTGCCTGTGTTGTGGCTTTCTTTGGGGGTCTCTCCCCCCACCCCCTTGCCTCTCTCCCATTCTCCTTCCCTCTCTTTCTTTCTCATTTTCCCCTGTGTATTAGAAATGAGTATTTTTTTCCCATGCTCTTCCCTTTCCCCTTGGCGTGCTCCTTGAGGAGGGCATGCAGAGCTGGTCTGCTGATGACAAATTCTCAGCACTTCGGTTTGTTTAGGAATGCGTCGATTGCCCCTTCCTTTTTGAATGACAACTTTGCTGCGTAAAGGGTTCTTGTTTGCAATTGCCTAAGCTTAGAATGTTATGTAGGCCACTCCATGGTCTTCTGGCTCCTAGAATTTCTGAAGAGAAATCCACACTGGGTCTTGAGAGGTTACATTGTGTTTTTCACTTGCGGATTTCAGAATTCTTCTCTTGTCTTTGGGTTTCAAGAGTTTTATTAGAATATGGCACTGAGTTGATCTTTTATGTCTCTTTTAATTGTGGTTCACATAGCTTCCTGTATTTGTAGGCTTGGATCTCTGGTCAGATCTGGAAATTTCTCTCTGATTATCTCTTGGAAAAAGCATTGCTATCCCATTGTTGTCATGGTATTCTGAAAATTGGTCATTCATTTTTTTTAAATCATTTTATTGGGGGCTCTTATCACAATCCATCCATCCATCCATTGGTATCAGCGCTTCATTTTTCCCCTCCCTCCTCCACCCTCCCTCACGAACCCTTGATCATTTCTTTTTCATGTCTTACACTGACCAGTGTCTCCCTTCACCCACTTTTCTGTTGTCCGACCCCAAGGGAGGGGGTTGTATGTAGATCATTGTGATTGGTTCCCTCTTTCTCCCCACACCTTCCCCTTCCCCTCTTGCTATCACTACTCTCATTATTGGTCCTGAGGGGTTTATCTGTCCTGGATTCCGTGTGTTTCCAGCTCTTATCTGTACCAGTGTACAACCTCTGGTCTAGCCGGAGATGTGAGGTACAATTGGGATCATGATGGTGGGTTGAGGAGGAGGCATTAAAGAACTAGAGGAAAGTTGTATGTTTCATTGGTGCAAGGGGATGTCCAGTTGCCTACAGATGGGCTTTGGGTCTCCACTCCGCACTCCCCCTCATTCACGATGATATGATTTTTTTTTCTTTGATGCCTGATACCTGATCCCATCAACACCTTGTGATCACACAGGCTGGTGTGCTTCTTCCATGTAGACTTTGTTGCTTCTCAGCTAGATGGCTGCTTGTCTATCTTCAAGCCTTTAAGACCCCAGACGCTATATCTTTTGAAAGCTGGGCACCATCAGTTTTCTTCACCACAGTTGCTTATGCACCTGCTTTGTCTTCAGTGATTGTGCCGGGAAGGTGAGCATCATGGAATGCCAGGTTAATAGAATAAAGTGTTCTTGCATTGAGGGAGTACTTGAGTAGAGGCCCAATGTGAGTAGTGGTCATTCTAATGTTACATTTCTTCATTGTATCCCTTATTCACTTTTATTTATTCTTTTCTCTTGTTTCTGTTAGACATGATACATTTGGTTTCATCTCCAGTTCATTTATTTCAGGTTTAATTTGGTAATCTCTGTTGTTGAGGGTCTCTCTTACCGTCTCTAATTTGTTTCATTCTTTTTACTTTATTCTGGCAGCACTCCTCATTTATTTTTATGTTTTCAGTTTCCGTATTGAGCTTGTAATGTTCAACAATTGTTTCTTTTTGTATGTGTCCTTTTTGCTTTCTTTAAACATATTTAGTGACACACACTGAACATTAGAAATTACTTGCTTTATTCTGGCCTTCGAGGGAGAAATTTCCTTCTGTTTATACTTTGCTTTTGACTGGTCCTCTTCCTTTGTGTGTTTGTGCGAAAATCCTTCCAGACAGAGGAGAATTACCCTGCTATATCTTTCCAGGAGCAGAAATCCTTATCATTCTCCCAAGGAGTAGCTAGTGGGCTCAAATGGCTGACTTTGCAGTTAGCAGCCCAATGCTTAGCCCTCTATACCAATAGTCACCTTGAAAATCAGCACTATGCAAAAACGGAGGATGACTACATCAATTCACCCTCTTACATGTACTGTGAACATCCCTTCAGGCCCCCGTTGAGGTCATCTACCATTGCCATCTCTCCTTGACCCATGTCACTTCAGGAGAGCTCGACCTCTACCGCTGCCCCCAGGGAAGGGTCACTCAGTACTCCAGGGCCTAGGTGGCCCAAGTGTCACCTCCTTCTTCATCCCTGGGATACCTCTCTCTCTGTTGACGTTGTTTTTTCACAATGGGTGTCCCAGCTCACACCTCAGCTACACTCATAATGAATGCCCTTGGTGGCTTTGTCAGAAGCAGGGGAACCTGTCAGCAGGTGGAGGAACACCCAGGCCCTCCCCTCCCCACCCCACACTCAAACATCCCAAGTTCTCACTAATACCCTGTCCCCAAGTCCCCGGGGAAATCAACAATCCAGAGCTTTCTCAAACGCCATGATGGCCAGGTCTAGCCTCTTCTTGGGCCTGCAATTGAAGCTGCCGCTGGTCACTAAATCACTGACCAACTCCATCCAGGTCTCCTGCCGTACTGTCCTGTGTGTGTGCTAAGGAAGGGACATTAGGGCAGCCTAGGAGGCTGCACAGGTGCCCGACCCTGAGGTCCTACTCCCTCCCCAACTCTGAGGGCGCCCCCTTTTCAGGACATTGACTGCTGCTACCCTGCCCTCAGTCACTGGACTCCCAGCATATGTCAGGCAGCATCCCATCCCCTCCCACTCTAGCAGCCTCATCCCCCACACATTTGATTGAGGAATGTCCTAATTTGTTAGCATTCAGTGTGTGGTGCAGGATAATCGGATGGTAGAATTTTTACTGTGGGGCTAATGTGAAGTATCAGTTCCCACGCAGGGTAGTGAATATGAATAGCTAGTAGCCCTCACCCTGCTCCTTTCACTGCTCCTGGTCCTCTGTGTCCCGCCTCTCACATGACCTGCTTTCCCTTCACCACCATGCCCATCCTATCCCCCCCCCCCCATGCCCTGCCCTGCCCTCATCTCACTGCAAGGCCCCCTAACTCCCTCTGTACTTTGCACCCCAGATTAGCTCCCTTCCCATGTCCTCTGGCTTGTTACTCAGCCCTGTCCCTAACCAGCCACTATGATGGAGCACTCCCAAGGTTAGATGGAACGTTCTGGGCCATCCCCAGTCCTCCTCTCCCCAGCTCCTGGACTTATCTTGACTCTCCAGCACTTCAGCTGCCATCTGGTGTGAGCACTGTCTCTGTGTGTTTTTATTCATTGTTCGGCGGGTTAGCTGTTGGGGGAGTAAATGAGAACCTGAACTCACTTGGCCATCTTGCTCTGCCTCCTGTAGACTTCTTCAATGACAAACTAGTAAACCTGTCCCAAGTAAAGGAGCCCTGGTCATGTAGAGTACGAAGTGTATTACCTTTTGCCAAGGCAACAAGGTAATCCCACATTAAAAAACAAGGAGCAGAACAAAAACCAAGTGTATCAACTCTACGTTCTAAAATCACTACCTCTCACCTGTGTAAAGGCTGCAACACAGAATCCTATTCCCCATCTCAACTTTCCACCTAGCTCAGTTTTTCCACATCCAGTAAAAAAACAGATGGATGAGAAGAGAGTAGACTTGGCACCTGAGCACTTTCACTTCTGGGTCCCTTCATTTCAGACACCGGGCCTGTGCCTGGGGTCTGAAGTGCACCTGTGGGGTTTAGTGTTATTTTCCTCTGCTTCTGTCTATTGTTTTGTCTTTTCAGTGCCATATGGTTCTTTTAACATTAATAGTTGTATTGTCTTTATCAAATATGCAACACAATTTGACATTATAAAATATTTGATCATCTGGCATGTATCGTTAATGAATCATTAGTCACTTAATCACCCTGGTCCTGCTCCTGCCTTAGGCGAATATTTTTCACATTCACAAAAAGGGAAACTTGATCCTCCCTTTCAGAGGAAATGGCAAGTCCTTTGGTCCTGACACCCTCCTCCTGTAGCGCCTGTGCCATCCACTCTCAGGGGCTGTGCCTCTTCTCACTGAACACAGAATTGTGGAGCCTTCTAAGTTCAGGTTCACTGAGCTTATTTCTTCTCTTTGCCTTTGAGAAGTAAAAATGAAAACACTTCAGAGGTGCCCATTTATTCCCCTGACAAAGGGGGTAGGAAGCTATTAACATTTTGGCCTGGAGGCGCTTCCTTACCTTCTCTCAGACTAATAGGTATTCTTTCCTTCCTACCTAATTCAAGCCTCTTGGGTTCCTAAGCATTACTTCACATCAGCATACTTTCATCATTCATCCAGCATTGGAGTGTTATTTGCCCAGTATATGACGTAATTGATTTTCTTGTTCTTATGTATTTACTTAAGTAATAGGATTTCATCTGGTAGGTCGTTTATTTCTTAGCAATTATAAATAGTTTAGCTAGTGTCCGTCATTAAACTGAGCATAATTGCAATATTACATTAATTCACATATGATTGTGCCTAATTACCTTCTTGAACTGTTTGTGTTTCAAAGGCACTAACCTTTTTCATATGGTTTTAAAGGTCTTCTGGGGTCAAGAGCATTTGAATTGTTTAGTTCTTCTACGTGAGCTCCTTAATGGATACCTCAGTGAGGAGGGAAATTTGGACATGCATGGTTCTCAGCCAGAGCCTTCAATGTCATCTCCTGTGGAAAATAATCAAAACTTTAAAAGTGCACAAAGTTCAGATGATCTACGGACCGGCCTGTTTCAGTATATACAAGATGCTGGTAAGTAGCGCACGCGCGCGCGTGTGTGTGTGTGTGTGTGTGTGTGTGTTAAACACACATAAATCACTTGAAAAGTACTAAGTCAATACTTGCAGCTCAAAATAGTATGTTATCATTCCATCTCATTTAAAGGAAAATTCTTGATTTCTTTCTCTCCCTAACCATATAAAAATTATCAACCAGCTTCTTTGCATTCTTTGCTTTTATCCTTGTAATGGTACTTTGGTTTAATAAGCCAACCTATTCCCCTTTAAAACATATACTTGTGCATGATGACACCTCAATAATTCTGTAAATCCCCATTTGCACAGTGGGGAAGCCAACCTTAAATAAATAAGCACATACTCCATTAATAATTGTGGTTCCACTTGACAGAACCTTTGAAACTGCCGAGTGCCTATGAAGTGTTGTTTTACAACGAAACAGAGGAGAGTCCGGGCATGATGTTATGGAGATATGCAGAACCGCGCGTGCTCACCCTTGTGCGCATCACTCCTGTGCCCTTCAACACCACCGAGGATCCAGACATCAGCACGGCCGACCTTGGAGATGTGCTGCAGGTATGTAAGAGCTATTCGTTTGAAAATGAAAACACTGTGAGGATGTGTGATAATATACAGAAGGGTACATGTTTGCATCATATCTGTTTCTTCCATCAACCATCCACACACACGCACACACATACACACAATAGAACTTTTAAGTAATGGAATCCTGTCATTAAGGTTCATGATACACGGCCATTTCAAGAGTTCTCAGTTCTATTCTTGGAACCCTTGAGGACAGGTTACCTAATCTTCAACTATAAAGGGACAAGCAGGTGTCATTCATGCACCAGACTCTTTGTGTTTCCCATGTGCTCACACCCCAGAGTTTCATGGGAAATGAACATGCCCATGTAAGGCCATACAGTGGGATGATGCTACTTTTCATTTCTTTTCCAGAGTGAAAAAATGGCCTTGGGGCTTAAGGTGGGCTGATAGGAAAACCATCTATCTAACCAGCAGTCATGTTTTCTACAATTGTGTGAAAGTTGTTGGGTAGAATATTGTTCTGCTTATTAATATTCTAATGATTCCAATTCCTCCTAAACTGTACTTCTTTCCTTGTCTCCCACTGATTTGCAAGTGGCATAACCATGCACTCCAAATCTCGGCATTTCCTCCCTGTCCCAGGACTGGGGGTGGGCCTCAGTGGTGGACCCAGCTCTCTGGTTCGTAGTCTAGGGACAAGGCAAACTGGTGACGTTGTTTCCTCTGCTGGTCTGATTTGAGGCCAAGCTCCCATCATTCGCCGTCAAAAGGAGGCCTGGTGGCTTAGTGGTTACCTGTTGAGCTGCAAACTACAAAGTCAACATTTTGAAGCCACAAGCTACTCTATGGAAGAAAGATAGGGGCTTTCTGCTCCCATACAGAGTGACGGTCTCATAAATGCACAGGGGCAGTGCTACCCTGTCCTAGAGGGTCGCTGTGAGTCGGCATCGACTCAGTGGCAGTGGGTGTGGTATGGTATGGTATGGTATGGTATGGTATGGTATGGTATGGTATGGTATGGTATGGTATTAAACGGGGCATCCAAGGTAGGAAGTGCATTCACTGGTGTCACGTTGTTCATCTTCTCATTGCCATTAGTGGTTAGGAGGACTAACTAGAGCCAGAATGCCTTGATTACATTTTTGGCTCGGCTACTTGCAAACCTTAGGCAAATAACCTCTCAGCCTTGGATTTTTTTCATCAGTAAAATGCAGTAATGATATTGTGTAATAAATATAAAAACATATATTTTCACGTTCCTGGCCACAGAGAGTGCTATGTATATATGAACTAATTCCATTATCCTTTCATTCTATTTTTCTATGAACTTTTTGTTGACGCCCCTTCATATTAGCACTGCGCTTACTACCACACCCTTGTCTATATGCCTTTCATAAAGTAAGTGCCCCCGTGAGACCAGGGAGATCTGATGACATAGCAGACCAGCTGGAATGGCGTGGAGAACGGGGTGGGATCAGGAGCAATTCCCTGACCCAGGCAGGGGGCTGGGCAAAGCACTGGCTAAAGGGAACCCGGTGGGGGGTGGGGGTGGGGCATGGGGGGTGTCAGCAAGTAGAGGGGCAGTCATGTTTGATACCTTGGAGAGATGTGGGCAGGGCTTAAAGACAAGAATCCTGGCTGAAGAAGCAAGTCCAAGTTGAAAGAAAGATCTCCATCCCAAGTCGACGGAATGGGCTGGAAGGGCAGAGCAAGACTGACTGCAAGTCTTCCCTGGTGCCAGGCAGCCCAGCCCCTCCTGCTCCTCTTCCCCTGACTGGGAGCAGGATTGGTCCCAGGGCTGGGGTGGCCTCAGCGGTGGACACAGCTCTCTGGTTCGCAGTCTAGGAACAGGCAAACTGTTGACGTTGTTTACTGGAGCCTCTGTTCAGGACAGAAAACATGAAGCATGAGGCACAGGCCAGAATCAATATGGCAACCTTTCCCTCGAGGGCTTGCAGTGCTGGCCCCTGAGCACGCTCCTGGGCATTCCGAGGGAGATAAGACGCCGCTCCTCTCTGAGGGGCTCCTCAGTCGAGTGGGCAAGTGTCTGGGATTTTACACTAGCAGGGTCTCCTCATTTTGACTTTCAGAATCATTCTCCTGCTATGTGCATGTGGTGACCTCTAGGTCTGTTTAAAGTAGTGGTTCTCAACCTTCCTAATGCTGTGACCCTTTAATACAGCTCCTCATGTTGTGGTGACCCCCCAACCATAAAATTATTTTTGTTGCTACTTCATAACTGTAATTTTGCTACTGTTAGGAATCATCATGTAAATATCTGATAGGTAGGATGTATTTTCATTGTTACAAATTGAACATAATTAAAGCGTAGTGATTAATCACAAAACTATGTAATTATATATTGTAAAATACTTATTTCTAATGACAAATAAATGAAATTTGTCTCAAAGCATGGTGTAGCAGTCTTAATATAACAACAGTAAACTGCATTGCTACATTTTGGACAGTATGCGTAAAAAGCCAATGTCAGTGTGAAGGTTGAGATAGCTTCTTTCTCACCAGATCAGCATATCTGCATGTGGACAGTCCTGCCTGGAGACAGATAGAGGAGTGGTGTGTCGGTTCCTAAGACCATCAGAAATGTGTTTTCCGATGGTTTTAGGTGACCCCTGTGAAAGGGTCATTCAACCCCCAAAGAGGTTGTGACCCACAGGTAGAGAATTGCTGGTTTAGAGCAAGGCTAGGGAACCTTTGCTCTGCCCAGAGCTGTTTGAATATTTTAACAGCATGCACAGGCCATCCTGGTCTGTTAGAGTAAACCAGCTTCTAACATCCATAGGAGAAATTGTACGGTTATAACATATAGAGATCATAGTAAAGTCATAGAAGACAGGAGAGATAGGAGAGTGAAATAAAGGAGTCAGACGCATTTTATGGTAGCATGATCTCAGCAGCCAGGTCCACGCAGAGAGAGGGAGGAGTGTCTCTCTTATTTCTTTCTTCTCTTTATTTCTGACCAAGGCCTATCTATACTTAAGGGCGTGATTACAGGTAACCACATACGTCACAGGAAGGGGCTGTACAATAGGCATATGCATCACAGGAAGGGGATGAGTTAGGGGTGTACATGCAATAGGAAGGGGAGGGATTAGGGGTACACATGTGACAAGATGGGGGGACCCTAGACTCAATATGGCAGCCTAACCTTGGTCATCCTTGAGTGGGCTCAACCTTGCCTCTGAGCCCTCCTTCAAGGGAACAATCCACTATCCTTATTAGAAGGGAGTGGGTCCTACTTAGGGTGGGATAGACTATACAGTCTGATTGCTCTATATCAGGGGTCCTCAAACTACAGCTCACGGGCCTCACGGCCTGCCGGGTGTTTTTGCCCCATTTTGTTTTTTTACTTCAAAATAAGATACGTGCAGTGTGCATAGAAATTTGCTCATAGTTTTTTTAAAACTATAGTCCAGCCCTCCAACGGGTCTGAGGGACAGTGAACTGGCCTCCTGTTTAAAAAGTTTGAGGACCTCCGCGTCTAGATGGCTGACAACCCTTAGGGAGAACCACCTCTGACCTGCTCGCATTGACCTCCAAGTGGATAGTCCTTTACTAAGTGTAGCAAGCAGCGTCTTCGGTTTAACATATATTTGGGGGAGACAACTTGGGAGAAATCTTTCTGTATCCCACTGGTCAAACATTTCACTAACTCACCCAGAATGTGATGGCCAGATCTGCCCCTTTGGTGAGGTGTGTGACACTGGCTGGTGCTGATGGTTTCGTGGGCCAGACAATTCCCCAGCCCTGGTTTAGAGGCACAACTCAAATAACAGCTGATGCTGACTTGCAGGGAATTTATGAAAGGAATGCCCGTAGGCAACGTGTCGTGATGAAGGTAAACATGGGATTTGTAGTCTGGGGTCCCTGGGTAGCACCGGCAGTTTTTATTCAGCTACTAACCAGAGCTTGGCAGTTCAAACCCACCCAGCAGCGCCACAGAAGCAAGGCCTGGCAGTCTACTAACATAAAGGTGACGGCCAAGAACATTCGGTGGTGCTCACTTTTGCGCTGTAACACAGACCTCCCCGAGTTGGACTTGAATAGTCAGAAAAGGGTTTTTTGTTTGTTTTGTTTTTCAGTCACTATAAGCTAACCTTTGTTCCCTTTGAGCCTCGATTTCCTCACCTGAACAGAGATGCTAATACTGCCTACCTTTCACGGGTGTTTTGAGGATTGAATGAGCTATAACTAAAGCACTTAAGTAGATACCTTACACAGGCTGAGCTCTTAAATTAAATTCCTTCTATCTTTTCCTCCCTCACATGCAAATTCTAGGCCAGGCTTGATGGAATTCCAGCCTCTAACCCTCCTTCCAGCCCTATCTTTCCAGCATTTTTAGAGGAATGGCTAGGTTGTATCCCTTCCTTGACAGAAACCTTTCCCCACCCAGCTTGGCCTTTGAAATCCTTATACAGGATCTACACTCTAGCCCACATGGGCGACTCACGCTTCCCCAAACCAGCCTGTGCTATCCGCTTCCACATCGCTTCCTCTTCTATGCCTGTGGAAATCTGGACCCCACTTCCAGAAGAGCTGAAATGCCATATAGACCATGAAAGTCTCTCCTGGGTGCCATTCCACACCGCCCTCCGCTGAAGCCCTCAGGCACTACTTGGCACCATTTTATGATATTTCTTACTCTATTCCATACCCAGTCTCCCTCCTGGAGTATAAGTTTACAAAGGAAGTGATCCTGTCTAATTTGCCAGTATGTCCCTTACAGCAGTCAGTGCAGAAGAGATGGCCTGTAGACACAGCAGCCAGGTGACTGATGGCATCCACGTCCCTATTTTCAGTGATTCGAAATACTGCGTCATGTGCCATTACTTTATGGACCTCATGAACGCTGGGTCTTAGAAACGGAAACCTGTCTGGGATGTCTTGTGTCCTCTGCCCCAAACTCGCTCTGATGCCGTTGTGTGGCGCAGGCCCTCGGGGAGATCATCGTCTCCTCTGCCAAGGCAACTGCCCCTGGGACAGCAGCCAGTGCTGCCATACAAAACGAG